TTTCCTCTCCCCTTGGCATATTATAAAAAATTCTCTTTGAATAAAGCCCTGGGCAACTGGGTATTGACCCAGGGCCCTCTCGAAGCCATTGGTGTCCCCGTCTTTCTCATTGTCTCTTTCTCTCTTTCTATCTGTCATTTCCTCATTCCTCTCTCCTACACCCAAGAACCCACTGAAAGGTGGGAGCAGGTTGGAGCTGGACTCCAACAATCTCAGCTGCAGACTCCACAGAGGATGTGGTGGATTTGGAGAGCTACTTAGAGTCTCTTATCTGAACTATGATATAGAGAGTGGACAGGGACTGAAGAGGCAAAGAGCTTAGTTATGGATTTTCTTCCTCAATACAGAAGAGCCCAGATATTCATCTGAAACCTTTTAGGGCCCTTTTATTACTCTTACTGAGTTCCCAAAACATCTTTCTCATTTTTTTGCTCTCATTACTTCTGGCCCCACAAGTAGTATGTGGATAATCATGATAATGCTGAGTATTAGACAACTGTGACTGTAAATACCAGGAAACATGGGGTACTTATGGGCACAGGAAATCCGAAAATGGTAGGGGTTTTTTTCTTGCTTTAAGAACTGTGATGTTTAGTGTTGTCAAAGTTTGACATCTGAAGAGAATTACCATGAGATCAGAAGCTGGTCAAGACTGGCAGTTCCTCCCAGTGAAGTGGTTCAAATCAAGCTTCTCCGTGGGCTGTTAGCTCTTCCTCACCTTGGGCAGGAGGAGCAGCTTGCAGATGTGAAATGATAAAGCCATTGCTGAGGACTGAGGGTGTGACCAGAGGTCTGGAGGTGTGACTGCACTGATGTACACAGCTTCCTGGTAGCTGTCTCACCGGAAGTGAGTGGGCACATGATGTGGTTTCCCAAATAAGAGCAGCTCATGCAGTAAGGAGCCAGGGACATCAGTAGATATTGGAATATATATTTATGTTTATCTGTATGCGTTTTTGCACAAAAGTGAAATTAGAAGAAAAGATTAAAGAAAATGAAAACATTTTTCAAATTTTCCAACTTTCTGGTTTTTTAGCTGGTTGTGATGTAATTCCATACTTCCCTTTTTTTACACTGCACTTTGCTCAAAGAACTGCAATGTGAGTGTCAATCAATTAGTTATGAAGAGACTCTATCTACTAATGTATTTATTTTCATTTGAAGGCTTCTCTTTATCAGAAGCTCAGAGCTTTGTAATAAATAGAAGACAGAACCTGCAGCTGCTGCTTAATTTGGCGTTCCAGTTACTGCTAAGATTCTCTTTCTAAAGCTGAAAAATTGTTACGATTCTGTCTCCACTTTGTATTTAGTTTCTGTTCACTTTATTGTCCTTGTCTGTCATGCACACTGCTGGCACCATATCTGTCGTCCACTCTGCTGTCACAGACAGGAAGGAAAGGATTTGAGCATGTACTAAGACTTTGAGAGAGAGGAGACAAACAACACTCACACATGCGCATGTGCTCTGCACTTGTTCAATGTGAGGACAACAGCCTCCCATCAAGGATGGAAATCAGAAAAATGTCTCAACAGCATTAACCCTCCTGTGAACAGTTTGATGTGACTCCCCAGACCTGAGGTCACCAGTGGTGTTTTCTAAAACAGCAGTTTCTCACTGCTGTGGATTTCCAAGGTTCTCCATTTCACTTATAGTCTCTATTCTAAAACAAAACAAAACATCTGCCCTCCCAGTGTCTTAAATTATTTCTGTTATGACAAAACATAGACAAACCCGCATAGTGAATGAAGTGTTTATTTTAGCTCACGGTTCAAGGTTATAGTCCTTAATGGTAGGGAAGTCACTATAGCTGGAGCTTGAGGTAGCTGGTCACATTTCATCAGTAGCAAGAAACAGGGAATGATTGATGAGCATTTGTACTCAGCTTGCTCTCTTCATTTATACACTCTGGGATCCTAGCTTAGGAAAATGGCACCAGCAACAATGGATGGATCTTCTCACCTCAATTTACCTAGCAAAGATAATCCCTCACTGTCTTGTTCAGAGGCAAATCTAACCTAGATAATCTCTGACAGGTGTGCCCCAGGCTTGTCTGTGCTTGTTCCTGTCAAGTCAGTAACATCAACCACCACACCCAGTGACATGGTGGGATGGAGATCCTAGCTCACTCTGCAGGCTGGTTCATTTCAGTTGCTAATACAGAGCAATAGGCTGGGTAACTTATAACAAAAAGAGGCTTGTTTGGGTTCAAACTTAAGTTTGAAAATTAAGGTTGGAAATGTCATGGTCAGGTGTCATCATTTGGGCTGAGGCCTAACATTTGCCAAATCACGACACAAAATGAAAGAGGATAGTGCAGACAGGCATGTGTGTAACAATGAACAGGAATGGACGTACTTGCTTTTTGACACCTGCTGTCAGAGAGGAGGAGTGTTTTAGAGACAAGGTCTCACTTTGTCTAATAGCTGTAGGTGGCCTGGAACTCAATATGTAGTAGACCAAGCTATCCTTGAACTTCTGAATATTCTCCTGCCTCTGCTTCCTGGGGTTGCAGCAGTGTGTTGCCATGCCTTGTTGCATGTAAGTTTTGTTTATATAAGCCATGTTGAAGCCATCATATGCATCATAAACATCACACACACACACACACACACACACACACACACACACACACACACACAGTGAAAATTGTTTCAGTAATGTGTATCTGTAACATAGTAACATAGAACTAAGGAGGATGAGGCAGAAGAATAATGAGTTTGAATCCAGCCTGGGCTACACAGTGAGTTTCAGGCCACTGTTAGTTATACAACATGCTTTTTGTCTTGCTTTGTGTTGTTTTTTAAATTGTTGTTGTTCGTTTTTTGTTTGTTTGAGCCAGGGTCTCTAGTAGCCAGGACCAGGCTTGACTGTGTTATGTAGCAAAGGGTGGCTGAGAATCCTTGATTCTCCTAGCTCAGCCTCTCAAGTTCAAGAATTGCTGTTGTGAGTCACCTTGCCTGCCTTGAATTCTTCTTTACAAATCTGAGAAACCATCAGTTTCCAGTTATGGAAATGTGATTGTCTTACAGCATTCCTAATATACATTTACTTTCAATAGACACAATTCAAAAACAAAAAGTAGTATTTCCTCTGAAATAATAACATAAGACAAAGTTCCTGAAAATTATTAAAACTTGGACCTGAAGAACTTAGTCATCCCATTTGCTCCATACACCCTCCTACTTATATAGAGCTGTTGCAGTCATCTCTTCTAACCAATGGCTCCTTTTAATTACATTACATTTTAGCTGAAGATCCTGGCAGGGTTTTCTCAAAATGTACTTTCCTTTATTCTTTGAGTCATCAAATACTAATTACAAACATGATTCTGCTGCATGTGAAGTGGGGATCATTTCATATGCAGGAATGCATAGCTCACGTTTCCTATCTTTCAGTATCAGCCCTCAACATACAATTTCCTCTTTTCACTTTGGTAAAACGGAGGGGCAGAACTTCAAGAGCTGAAAGTATCATGCAGAAGGGACACACTCTTCTGTGTTTCATTTGGAGCCTCTAAGGGGATACAGAGCTGCAAAGGACAACTTGTTCCTCATCCTTGATTCCCTTCACCTGCATCACCACCTGACTGGGGTATAGGTAACAGCTACTTCGATTCCTTCACATCTCTCTACCATATGATCTTACTTATTCAAGAGAAATGCCATTCAGTTAAAAATGGCCTGCATGACAGTCACATATAGGAAAGACAGTTGATCATATTAGAACTGTATTGCCAATCTGTGACCATTGGAGTTAACTTCAGGAAAGGTATTTTCTCTTATTGTGCTACAATTTTTGTTGTCTGTGATCAAAAAAGAGTGACCAGTAGAATTATTTACTTTGTAATTAGTTCAAGTGGTTTACAAAGTTTTTTTATGCACTTTGTAGAATTTTATAATAGGAAACCATTTTATTTTTAGAGAATTGGGGAAGTTGTAAATGAATTTTGAAACTTTCATTAATTATGATGTGTTAAGTTATACTAGAAATGAATTGAGTACATCAACAATTTTTTTAGTATTATCTATTTATTGGTTGCCCCTTCAAATACTGTTTAATGGAAGAAGCAAGGTAAATCATAAGTAGCTATGATTTAATAATTTGTGAGTTTTTTGTTGCCCTAAGAATGATTAATTTGAGTATTTATGATGCCTACTGACAAATTTTCATTCTTTTTAATTTTTTGAGACAAAATCCCTCTCTGTAGTCCTGGTTATTTGGAAATTGAATATCTAGATGTTCTGGTCTTAGAGGTCCTCCTGCCTCTGACTCCCAAGTGTGGGGGTGGGGTAGTGAGGTGGAGGTGGAGGAACATGTACCACTGTAGAAAAATTTTACTTTTATATAGGGTCCTAGAGTAATATCATACACTATACTGTTCTTTGTGGAATGTTAATGTCCATGGAGTCCTTTGCGAATATGAGTTTAGGTGTTTTGGCTTTTACTCAGGAGACTTTTATTATCACATCTGGAATCTGAAATTTTAATTTCCTGTAGTATTCCTTTCATATAATCCTTTGTACATTGTTTCTGGCATACACTTTATAAATGTGGTCAAAAGATGGCATGATCATTTTATATTCATGTGTGTATCACATCATTTACAAAAGCTTTAAAAGCAAGGAGATTTGGTTTTAGGCAAGTTTTTAATTTTTGGTATGTTAAAATAGTTTTAGATTATGTCAGTTACTTAGGTGGCACCAGTTTTGTCAAGCATGTAACTGCCCAGTCCTTTATTTGACAATTCAAGGTGTTTTCTCATACATCCCAATAATCATTGATGTGACCACTAGTTAAAAAGGTTTTTCACACCTTGTGGAAGCCAGCCACCATCTACCCTCCTTACAGAATTCAGGTCCTTAAAGAAGTTCATAAACTACTACTCTACCCCAGCACCAAATCCTGAAATGTTCTAAACTTGGACGTTTTAATTTTTTCTTTACCTAGACATCATCCCACGACATGGTTTTAATTTAAACCGTCATTGCTTCCTTCCAAGATGAGCAATCAGGAGGTGACTTATTCAAACTCAAGAGTTTTTGTGTCTTCTTCAGAGTCACAGAATCCAATCAAGCCTAATGAGACTCAAGGTCCCAGAGAGGTTGGACACAAAGGTGAATGTTCTCCTCCTACTCGCTGTACACACCAGACACTGAAAACTGTCCTAGCCATATATTGCTGATTGTCAGCTGGAATAGGCCATCACAGTGAGAAGAAGTAAAGACTTAAAAGCTTTTTAAAAAATAACCTTTGAGACAGGAAAAAAAATCAATAATTTCATTTGTTTTTTGTTTTGCTGTGTGTTAGGTTATTATTATTATTATTATTATTATTATTGTTTGTTTTTTGTTTGTTTGAGCCAGGGTCTCCAGTAGCCAGGACCAGTCCTAACTATGCTATGTAGCAAAGGGTGGCCAAGAATCCTTGATTTTCCTAGCACAGCCTCTCAAGTTCTAGGATTACAGTTGTGAGCCACTTTGTCTGCCTTGCATAGTTTTTTATAAATTTGAGAAACCATCAGGTTTCAGTTACTTTTAACAAAATATGGTTAAAAATGTGTGGCCTTTAGAAAGAAAAAAACTATAGTCTGAAGAAACACTGAATTTTCTAATGGAATAAAATCTTAGAAACATGCAAAGTATGTGTTAAAAACAAAGCTCTCGGCCATGCATCAGTGGTGCACACTTTTAATCCCAGCAGAGTTAGGCAGATCTCCGTGAGTTCCAGGCCAGCCTGGCCTACAGAGCAAGATCCAAGACAGGTACCAAAACTGCACAGAGAAACCCCGTCTTGAAAAACCAAACAAAAAAAGAAAAACAAAAAGCAAACAAACCAAAAAAGCTCTTACTAAAACAGGGTATTCCAAGTATTTCATCAAACTTCAATGCCAATCATCAGCAACAACAGCCAGGTCAGAGGGGAGTGGAAATTCTTTGGTCTTTGTTTTTCTTGCCCTTCAAATATTGTCACATTTAAACTCTAAACTGAACACTTTTGCTACATTAGTATGGTGATAATCAGATGTGGGACTCTAGAACTCAAGACCTCAAATGCACAAGGATAAATATCTTATTTTCCTGAGAAAACAGAATTGATGGACAAGAAAAGAGCTGACTCCTAGGAAGTCTTCAAGGATGGACCCTTATAGAGTTCAGAATATTCCTACTGGCTCCCAGTTTCTCAAGCCCGTTGCTTGATCTTTCTTTCCTCCTCATGCTGAGTTGAGATCTCTTGGTGGGCTGCTAATTGCAATTTGGAGTTTCCTACCTGAATCTTGCTTATCCCTTCAGTGCTTTGTAAGATGAACTTTTGAAACTATGTGCACCTGGATGAGGCAGCTCAAGACTGTCATTTCAGCTACCTGTGAGGCTGAGAGTTCAAGGCTGAATGGGCAGAAATTTTCCGAAGTCCTAAAGAACTGCTTCCATACATAGGCTATAAACAGATGGGTGTATGTCATCCAGAAATCTAAAACATAAAGTTTTCATTTTACAGTTTATTAGAATTTATTAATTGCATAAAATAATGGGCTTTATTAAGACTTTTGTATTGCATATAATTTTAAATCCATTATTATCCTATCCTGTTCCCCCTTAACTCTGTTACCCTTCCAGTACTTCCTAACCCTCCTACTTTAATGTATTGTTCCTCTCCATTTCATGGGATGGTCCTGGTGATGATTTTGATGTCTTTAGGAACGCTCAATCTCCTTACATTTCATTGCAGTGGGTCTCGGGATCCTCTGCTTACTTCTGATGATGGCAATCTCGGTGTGGCTGATATACAGTGAGTAATTCAAATACATCCTCTGCCTAGGTAATGCCAACAGACACTAATTATGCCACAAAGATCATACTTTGTCTATTATTTTGTCTGTCACCAGATGACATTCCAGGTGGGCTGGAATTTGTAAGTTTTTTGTTTTCTCCTGGACCCCTGAACTCTTGGACATTACAGTGACTGGGGCTGCCTTTGACTGCCTTATTCTGTCTTACTCATGATCGTGTTCCTTCTGATAATAGATGTGTTGATATTCTGGTTTTGGAGCTCAGGTGATTATGAATCTGATATATACATGTTATAAGAAACAGCTGTACAAAATGAATTATTTCATTTTGTGGATTTATCCCCAGCTCATATTGAGGACATGATTAAGTGGAAAGATGGAATCTGTAGACAGAAGTAGAAGTTCTGGAGCTTCAGTTTTATCTTTAATAAACATCCTTAGAGAAAACCAATGGGCTCCAACACAGCTGCATGTCGGCATATTATTATCTTTCTCCTTTGGGTAGTTCATATTCTCCAATGATAACTGTGCTGTTATTTCATGTTTCTTGGTTCAAATTTCATGTTGTGTTAGGTTTTTCTGAATATTTTACTTAAGTATTTATTTGTTAGTTTTGTGCTGTGAAAACAACGAATTAATCAGAACATATGGAGCTTCCACCATCATATTATTTAGCTGTTTCACGTACTTTACACTGAAGTTGCCAATAGAGACAATTTGATGTTTTATTTCTTATAGTGAGTTAATTGAAGTGTTACTTTTTAAGTGCCAAAATAGCAATTAAAGTAATGATCTGTGTTGGTTGTTAATATAAAGCTTTTTCTCTACTTTTAAATTAAATATTTACTCTTTATGAGCATTTTTGAGTTACATCTGTTACTAATTTTAGTTTTTCAGTACAGTCAAGAAATATATAAATTGCAGAGAACTCTAAATAATCTACGTCAAGAGTACAGCACCATGCAAAATGACAGTTACTTAATGGAAGAAATGTTGAAAAATAAGTCTATAGATTATGAGGTCCTCAAACACGATCTGGACACACTCAACAGAACACTGAACAGATGCTACCAGGAAACTAAATTTGTAGATTCCAAACTGCACAGAGGTAAGGAGAGGATCCTGAATAAAGAATTGCTTTATTCTCTAATGTTTCCTCCCCCAGAAGATTTGAAGTTCAATTAGCAGCTTAAAATGCTTGGGGTTGATGGCTTGGTGTTTCGTTATCTCATGGAGGGGCTTGCTTTGAATTTGGAGAATCTTATAGCCTCTAGAAATTCAGTGGTCGTTCTGGCTTCTACTGCTCTAAGAGGATGTAATTGTAAGTCAGCACAGCTGACAATTCAGGTTCTTTTTATCTGTGCAATTTGAATCTCCAGTTTTGTTCCTGACAGAACATGGAAGTTTCCATTAAGAGTGCATTCATCAAATTCTTAGGCTGAAATGGACTTAGAGCATTTATATGGATGCAGTCATAAAAATAATTGTGTGTGTGCGTTTTCCTTCTGCCTTGGTATGAGAGAGTTGGCTTATTTGTGACCATGGTGCAGCTCCCTGCAGCACATTATGGAACTTCAAAATGGTGTCCACACTTGTGTAACTGTCAGTGACACAGTGGTTGAGGCCAGAAAGATGAAAATATCAAGCTTTACAAGGAATCTTTCTTACCTTGTATTGTGACTGGTTAACTTTAATTGACACAGTTTATCATTCATTATTAAATATTATTTTCAGAATTTAGAGTTTACAAAGAGCTTTTGCATATGATCTCGCTACACCATGGTAGGGGTTAAAAATCATTATTATGCAAGGAATAGTAATATCTTTCAAACTGCTACATTATAAAATATGATAGGAAAAAAGTGCCAACAATTTTCAAAATATTTCAGACCCATGAAAAATATTCTGTCTCATTAAAAAAATAACTTTATTATCTGAAAATGGTAGCATATTGCTGTAGTCCCTGTTCTTAGGAGGCTGAGACAGGAAGATTATAAATTTAATGACAATCTGGACAGCTCAGCAAATTCCAGGCTAGCCTGAGCTATACAATGATACCTCTTCACAGGAAAACACAGGATGAAGATAAAGTTTGATAATAGAGCATGGCCATCCTCAGTCCCTCACTAAACAAAATAATCATATTGAGTTATTATTGCTACACAAATCGCACACATTTTAATATATTCAACTTGACGTGTTTGGGTATGTGGGCTTATCACTGAAGGCATCAACATAATCAGGAGAGTAGACCAGCACCTTCAAAAGCTCCCCCATGTGTCTCTTATTCCTCTTAAGGTAAGAGCATCTAACACGGACCACAGCACATCCTTAAGTGCACAGTGTGTGTGGATGAACTGGGAACACAGTGCATTACTGCAGGTCTAGAATTCCATCATCCTTGTAATTGCCTCTGTGCAGCAAGTGTTTGTTCCCCGTACTCCAGCTCTGGTATCTCACAAGCCTCTGCTTCTTAGAGTTGGGCTGTCTTAAAACCTCATCTGAGTTGAGCCATAAAGTATGGTCCTGGGCCTGACTTTTTCACTTTGCACACTATCCTCCAGTTCATCCATGTTCATCATTTGGTTGAGCACCTCTCTTTTAAAGTGTTTAGGTGTTAGACATGGTTTCAATCTGTAGCCCAGGCTTTATTAGAATCTACTTTATAGCCAAGGCTGACATGGAAGTCACTACTTAGCCTAGGCTAGCCTCAAACTAGTGCTGATCCTCCTGTCTCACTCTGTGTAGTGCTCAGGTTATAAGCATGTCTTCATGCCCAGCCAATTTAAAGGATAAATAATATTCTTTTGTGTGCATGTGCCACATTTTTTCTACTGATTTATCCACAGTGGACACATCTGTTGTTTCTATATATCTACTGCTATAAAAAATACCCCATAGAGCATAGGTGTAAAGGGGTCTCTTAACATTCTGGAATTTAAATTTCTTAGAGCTCTGAAATTTAACTTATTTATCAATGTTTAATTAAAACAGTGATCTAATAACAGAATATTAGAAAATAAGAATTTTCACCATTTGCCTTCTCTGTTGTAGGCGAACGGGTTGAAGGACACTGGTTCTGCTGTGGCATAAAATGTTATTATTTCATCATGGACAAAAAACGCTGGAGTGTATGTGCAAAGACCTGCCGGGACTGCAGCTTATCCCTTTTGAGGATAGATGATGATGATGAACTGGTATTGTAGACACTTACATGCTTCTTTATTCTTAGATTCCTTCTCTAACCCTTGGAACTGAGATACTGAGCCCAGGCAGGTTTACTGAAAGAGAGACATCTAAGTGTTGTACATGGTTTGCCTGTAACGTGAGCAAAACCTGTGCAGTAAGAGTATCCTAGGCTACTCCTTCCTGCTCTAGGCTTAGTGTCAGGACACAGGGTCTGTTATGATAAGACTCATTAAAAAAAAAAAAAAAAAGCCATGTCTTTGTAATCTCTTTCTCAGGAGTCTGCAAGAGAGTCCCTCAGAGAAGCATGTTTTCCCAACATAAGTTTAACCCTTTGGTACAGTACATCCTGTGAGTGACAGTTATGTATCTCCATAGAGTGCCAGCTATACCCAGTGACGTCTTGGTCTAGGGCTTGCTCTTTGGAACCTGGAAGTGAGACTGCCTGAGATGAGGAATTGGATGACAACAGAAAAAGTAACTGACCTCTGGGGCAATTTGCAAAATGGAAATTATGTGAGAACTGTGAAACTCAGTAGTTTTACCAGGTAGCTCCAATGTGATTGTCAGTGAAACTCTCCATCATCTTTTACTTCATACAATTTTTTTGGTTTTTTAAAAGATGTCTATTTTCAGAAATGAATAATTAAAAGAAAAAAAGGTGCCAAGATGCAGATATTTTCTTTCTTTTTTTTTTTAACCTCTTTTTGTTTTTGTATTTTTATTTTTTTATTTTTTTTTTTTTTTGGTTTTTCAAGACAGGGTTTCTCTGTGTAGCTTTGCGCCTTTCCTGGATCTCGCTCTTTAGACCAGGCTGGTCTCAAACTCACAAAGATCTGCCTGCCTCTGCCTCCGAGTGCTGGGATTAAAGGCGTGCGCCGCCGCCGCCGCCGCCGCCGCCGCCGCCGCCACCACCACCCGGTGACATTTTCTATTTAAATTATTCCTAACAAAATCTCTTCCAATATGAAGACAATATTTTTTCTAGAGAAATGCTTGCAGGGTCAGCTTGAAAACTTTACCATTTAGTACATTTTACAAAATTTGTCCACCAATTTAATACATGTATAAAAATTACAACAAAATAAATTTTAATGTCAAATAATTATGTAATTTTCCGTTCAATATACTAATCATAATTCAATTTATAATTAAATTTAAACCCATATTTTAAGATATGTTCAAAAATTTAATTAGACATCATGCCACTTGCATGTCACATGTAAGACACTAAATTTTTCCAAATATCTGTCCCTTTTCTCCTCAATTTCTGTCACTTCCAAGTCTAAACTTCAGAACAGCTTCCTCTGTGGAGCATGAAGTTTAATGCCCAGTTTTCACGCATGACTTTTCATCTTAATGAATTTGCTTACTTACCATATGAACACTTTCCACATGCCTCTGTGGTCTTTGGGAATGCACATTTGAATAACTTCGTAGAGTGACAGAAATTATTTAATGAGCCATGAATTCAGTGTGCTGGTTTATAGGAGTCACAAGCAGTAATGTTGTGAGTTCAGGGTCAACCTTGGTTATATAGTGAGACTTGGTCTAAAGACATAAATCATTTCATGAATCTAGTATCCCTACACACCTGAAGTTTTCATTTTAAATAACTTATGTAACTAACATTGGTTTTGACATAAATGAGCTATTAGAGGGAAATCACTTTAAAAATGAGCTTGGAGAGACTGAAGTGCTGGAGGACAGGACAGCAGAGAATTGACATAAAATAGCTGGGACCTGTTATATTGTTCTTTTCTCACCAGCCAGAGGGAAATTTTATCATCAGATGAGGTTTTTTTTTTTTTTTTTCCCTTACAGAAGTTCCTTCAGCTGCAAATTAAGCCGAACAGTTACTGGACTGGGTTATCATATAACCCAAGAACAAGGAAATGGCAATGGAGTGACGATGGCCCATCTAATCTGTGAGTCTCCTGATCCCTCACACTCTAACTAGGTGCAGAATTGGGAGGATTGTGTGCAAAGGCTTTTCTCTCATTTCACAATGCTTTTCTTTTTGTCAATGGAGCTCATGGGTAAGGACAAGATGCACAAGGCAGTGTCTGACCAAGTATTAGGGAAGAAGAACAGTCTAGAGGCTGACTGCTAGTGATGTAATAATGAACACAGCTAAGGATTGTGTGTTCTAAGATGCAGAGAACACAAGCAAATCAACAACTTAAGATCACTTGAAAGTGACTAGATCATCCTGATAGATAGTGTGAGTATGAATATTTGAAACATTCACTTCATTTGTTTCGGTAGTTAGTTTATATAAATTGCTTCTTATTTATAAATATAAGAACATTTTTGCATATCTATATATCTATATGTGTACATGTATATCTAACTTCGATTTCAAGATGTCATATTGTAGACTCTCAAGTTTTATGTTAATTTGTAATCTGGTAGAAAACTATTTATTGATTATCTTTTTTAAGAATATTTCTTTTTCTTGAATACATCTCATATACATAAAACAAAATATGATCATATCCTTCCCTAAACCCCCAAGCTTCCTCTGCTTCTGTTTTAACATGTGCCTCTCTAACTCCTGTTTTCTTAATTGCTGCTGTCCCTATGTGCACGGTAGGGCATCCACTGGAGCAAGGATACATACCAGTGGCCACAAACCCCTCAAAAGAGTGAATCTCCCTTTTCCAGCAGCCATCACCTGACAATAGTGATTCCTTGAGTGGTAGTAGATGCCTCGTCATCTGTGCAGGAATTTTGTCATGTCCAGAACATGCTGTTCACAGTACATTTTCCTTCTCTGGTTCTTACATCCTTTCTGTTTCCTCTTCCTTCCTATTTCCTGAGTGGTGGTTGTGGTTTTGGGGGAAAGAGGTTTATGAAGATGTCCCCTTTAAGACTCAGCACATATTCTCTTCTAAGCACTGTGACCAGTTCTGCTTCTTTGCAATGACCACTGACCACTGCAAAAAGAAACTTCTCTAATGGAGGTTGAGAGCAATGCGGGTCCAGGCCACAAACATAAATATTAAAAATGAAATTTGACTATGTGACCACTTAGCAAAATGATAGTAGTAGGTTCCATACTAGAACCCATGACATTTGCAATCATGGGCTTTTGATTTGGATTACAATATCAAGCATGACATATTGCCTAGCAGGTCAGTATTGTGGCATGCAGGGTCCAGTGCTGGGTAAGACCATTCAAATCTTTTCTCCCTTTGGAAGTTACAATGTAATTGGCCCACATAATCTCATAGGGAGTGGCACTATTAGTAGGTGTGGCTTTGTTGGAGTGGGTGGGGTCTTACTGGAGGAAATGTGTCACTGTGGGAGTGGGCTTTGAGGTTTCCTATGCTCTGGATACCGTTGAGTGTGTCAGCAGACTTCCTGTAGCCTGCATTTCAAGAGATAGCCAGCACCAAGTCTGCCTGCACACTGCCATGCTCCCCACCATGATGATAATGGACTGAAGCTCTGAAACTGTAAGGCAGACACCCCATTTTGATGTTTCTTTTTTAATAAGAGTTGCTGAGGTCATAGTGTCTTTTCACAGCAATAAAAACCCTAGCTAAGGCACTCTCCTAGTAACCTGCACAGGACCTTTGACCCATTGAAAGATAGCCCAAGGGACAATGTTTCCTGATTGGTTTGAGACTGATTTCTCTATGTCCTGACACCAAGTGTGTGGTGTCTTCAGAAATAGGGTGTTTCCATGGAGTTATGGTGGAAAACCAAGGGCACAGCCACAGCCTGGTTGTTTGGAGGCCCCTGTGGTCTCCCCGACTGGTGATTCCTTTGGAGGTATCCCTTGCCTTGCACTTTGATTTTCACTTAATGACTCATATTTTCTGTCGGTCTAACTCTTTTTAAATTATATTTTGATATTTTAAAATTATGTTTCCATAGAATATATTTTGATCAGGTTTTCCTCTCCCCCATAATACCCAGTTCCTCCCCACCTCCCTTCCTATGCACTCAACTTTGTGTTATTTTTCTCTCTCTCCCCAAAACAAAAACAAAACAAAATAGGAAAATAAAATCAAACTAAAAAAAAATCCAGCAAGACAAAAATTGCCTGAAACAAACAGAAAAGCAACACACAAAAGTCCCCAAACCACACACACACACAAAAAGGAGTCTGTTTTGTGTTGGTCAACTAGTGGGTCTCCATAAGGTCTTTTATACATCCTTAGTTTTGGTTGATCCATCCTTTATTCTCTCCTGTCCATTATTTTCCAGTGCTCATTCACATTTTATCCTTTAATCCTCAGAACCCCCTCTCTGCCTTCATATCACATATTCATCATTTTTCCTGATTATTGATTTTTTTAGAAATACAAATTTAAAAAATATCCCCTAATAATTCTGTGTTTGTCCTTTAAAAACTTTGTTAGCTAGTTATATTTCAAGTTGCCTTTTATAATTATTTACAAATAAATTTAATTTTTATTGTTTTGTTGTTGTTTTGAAATAGAGATTTGTGTCCCCAGGCTGGTATTGAACTCTTGATCCTTGTATCTCCATCTCTCAAGTGCTGAGACTACAGGCAGGTGTGGCTGTCTTTCATCCCTTTAAAGATAGTAACCACACTTATTTTAGGCGTGTTAGTTGGTAATCCTATTGTCTGTACTTTTGTGGGCTTAACCTACTGTTTCTGCTGGATTCTGTTCATTATGGAATTATCTTTGTGGTATTCAGTGAATTTCTTCTTCAGCTGCTACCAAAACTATCTGAGGCATCAACAGTGGTAACTTTCTCAGGAACCTTTCATTCAGTGCCCGAGAAAATGGCGAGTCTGGCTCATTTCTATTTAAACGTGGTCCTGCCAGTGTGGACAGCTAGGTTCCAAATACACAGGAAAATAACTTCCTCTTTAGACCAAGGGAACTCTCATGCAGGCTGTCACAGAGGTGGCCGGACTGTCACAGAGGTGGCCAGGCTGTTACAGAGGTGACCAGAGGACAGAAGACCTTACATGATGTATTAATATGTACAAATCATGCAGATTATCACTATTGTTATTAATTTTGTTTTTTCTATAGGAAGTATCATTTCATACAGGCTAGCTCTGCTCCTTTGCATCTACCTTCCAAGCACTAGAATTGTTGGTGTTTGCCACTGTGAAAGGCCACAGAGTTAATGAATTTATTTGTATCCTACAGCACCATACAGAGTGAAATGAGCATGTGGTAATATTTAGAGTGAGGTTCTAGCAGCTGAAAGTATTCTGCATCCAGATTAAGTGATCTTTGTAGACCTTGACTATGTTACAGAACTGTTCCCTGATTATGGTATGATTACTTGGCCTAAGCACGAGGCTTCTGTCAGGAAGTCCAGTGGTCAGAAGGTTTCTGTGGCCACCACAAGTATTTTCTCCAGTGGGAAGATGCAGAAGCTTGTACACCTGCTTACAATCTTAGCTTCTAAGGAACCTAGTGAGAAGCTGTGAGCTTGTGTTTCCTGGTAGAAGTCCCGGTAGACAGCACCATGCAGGTAAAGTTAAGAACTCACGATGCAGAATATGTGCTCCATGTGTATCTTGTGAGTAGTTAGTGTCTACTGGGTCTTCTCCTCTTTGTCCATGTTCAACACACACGCTTTACTGATTGTACCATAATCATATCCTATGGCTGACTAATATGTATACTCATCCCTACTATACATTACCTGTTCTTTATATGATCCATGGGCCACTTAGTTTCATTTACCTTCCTTTTCTGTTCCTATTGTAAATCTAAATCCTCTATTTCCACCTGGCTTAAATCCAATGTTAAATGACGGTGATCTTTTGTTAAAATTTTATTCCTTTGCTGTTTTAGTCCCATGGAGTTGGGTGGAATTCATTCTCTGTCTGGTATTCTGTGACATAGATTCTCATTAGGCTAGACTGGGTCAAACTCACTGTATTTCCCTAACTGGCCTTGAACTCCTGATACTCCTGGATTAATTATTTGGTATTTGAGTGATCATTTTTTGTAGAGTCACTATTTATTTTGCCCTGCCTATTAGTAGAAAGACTGGCTGTCATATTTAATGATGTTTTGGGAGTCTTAGCTTTACTGAAGCCTCAGATTTTATGGAAATCTGTTGTGGGATGGTCTGTATGTCAAGTGTGTTGCTGATTGGTCAATAAATAAAACACTGATTGGACAGTGGCCAGGCAGGAAGTATAGGTGGGACAAGAAGGAGAATAAAGCTGGGAAGTGGAAGGCTGAGTCAGGGAGACACTGCCAGCAGCCACGATGACAAACAGCATGTGAAGATGCCGGTAAGCCACGAGCCATATGGCAAGATATAGATTAATGGAAATGGATTAATTTAAGCTGTAAGAACAGTTAGCAAGAAGCCTGCCACGGTCATACAGTTTGTAAGCAATATAAGTCTCTGTGTTTACTTGGTTGGGTCTGACGGCTGTGGGACTGGCAGGTGAGAGAGATTTGTCCTGACTGTGGGCCAGGCAGGAAAACTTTAGCTACAGGGATCTGCTTTCTGCCTGTTCATAAATGAACTGAATTTGGTTTTAGTTGATCAGGATCTTGCTCCATAGCCCACTCTATTCTGGTTTATAATCCTCTAAATCAGCCTCCCCAGGGCTAGGTTATAGTCATGTATCATCTTTTTTTTTTTTCTTTTGATTTTTTAATAGGGTTTCTCTGTGTAATCTTGGCTGTCCTGGAATTCACTATATAGATCAGGCTGGCCTCAAACTCACAGAGATCCACCTGCCTTTGACTCCCAAGTGCTGGGATTAATGGCATGTGCCACCACTGCCGGAACTGTGTTTTAGATTTTATTTAAAATTTTGAATTATCTTTCACAGGAAGGTAATTGTGGATTTAGTATTCATTGTCCATCAGAGATGGCAGTTTTGTTGAACACGGGGAAGTCAGTCAATCATCATGTTTCAGGGAAGTCCCAATAGCTCTGAGGAGGGGGAGGAAAAAGGAAA